ATTAAGTATTATTATTGTGTTTCAGTTTGCATGTTTTGACTTCCAGAATAACTAGGTTATTCGAACCTCCACAGTCGGTCATACGTTGAAAGTAGGTATGAAGGGAGACTGTCATGAATCTATCTGTAGATTGACTAAAGTGTTTAGACATGGCACAAGTTTGCTACAGAGTTCATGAGTGCTTTGATAAGATTAGAGTATTGGATTAAACCCACGCTCATAAGAATCACTTCATGAATTTTATCACGAGTGATTGTGAGTAGATAATATTGTATATTCTTGAAACCGAGACGTGTGAGTTGTTATTTGCTGGTCGGTTACACATTGATGATAAGTAAATGCATCAGTAACTTGGTGTTACAAAACCTATTGTTGTGTGTGATTCAATGAGTGAGTACAAGTGAACATTTGAGTCAAAGTTTATCCATTCCTTTTACACAAAGTGGGATAAAAGCGATATCTGTGGGACCCTCGATGATTTAGTGATGACACCTAAGCGCTTGGCCAAGCCGGGACTAAGTTGATGTGTTCAATCGTTTAATGAAATACAATATTTGCCATCACCCATCACCGTCCTCTTTCTTCTTTTTTCTTTCGTAACGAGGATCAATGGTGGTGGATTGTTTCAAGTTTTTAGAGGGCTCTTTTGTAGGTGTAGGTTTTTGTAAAATGAAAACTAAGTGAGTATAGGTGCGATTTTTGCAAGTTTTTAGAGGTTTTTTTCCTAGGTATTTTCTTAGGTTAATTTGAGTGTCAATAGTTGTGGTGATCGATGACAGTAGTGGCGATTAATGCAAAGGTGTTGGATGTTTTTGATGGGACTGATATTGACTGCGGTTAATCGAAACTGGTATTGGCGGTGGTCGCTGGTAATGATGTTTGTGGTGGTTAACAGTAATGGAGTTGGAGGTGGTGGTCAATGGTGGAGATGGCGGTCATTGGTCATCATTGGTCAGTGGTGAGATGGAGGAAAAGAACCGGTGTATGTGATAATATTATTCCTTTTAAAAGATTATTAATAAATAAAAAATAAAATAAATTAAAAAGTTAGGGTAATATATTCTTTTATATGTGTTAGGAATCAATACTGCAACCAAAGAATACCACATGGACGGCGTGAGTGCAAAAAACAAGTTATGAACCAAACATGCCATTTTGACAAACCACAACAACTGGATCGCAGCCCTAGTTTTTTGTTCGTAACTAGGGAGAGATAGAATAGAGTTCTTCATGCGGAATAAAAAAGACTTTTTCTATGACCTCTCCATTTTGAGACATTATGGCTTTGGGGTGGATCCGAGTAACAAGAAGTAATCCATAAAAATTTAGGATCCTACACAATGATAAAATACTATCCTCATGATTAGACTATGTCCTTGAGATTTGATATAAAAGAAAGGTGCATTTTAGGTTAATCTGTTCTTTGTATTAATATATTGTTCTTTGTATTAATATATTTTTATTGACATCACACGTAATACAAATCGACTGTACATAAAAGTAAATGCACATGCGATTTTAAATCTTGTCACATCCCATGATCATAGTTTCTTTCAAAAATAAATGCAAAAAATTAACGTTTCATTTCTCCAGGACCAATCGGTGGCATCACGATTCCCTGATTATAACTTGCTAGATTTCCTTGCCATCCTACAAAGTCAACAAAAGCAAACTTGAATCAGATATTTTTTTGATACACAGAGATATAATTATTGATTTTAACTTCAAGAAAAAGAGATTGAGATTAATAATTTGTTACCAAGAGATGGTTCAAATCCGCGATACTTGAGCTCTCGATACTCTTGGCAAAGAGCACAACACTCACAGAAACAATGGAGAAGACAATCATTGCAGGGTTGCTCAGGCAACATGTATTGTTGTCTTAATTTAGAACGATACATAAAAGAATATACGCATTCACATCCAGTAAATAGGCAAAGTATCGAATAAAGAGCCCCGCTAACACCACAAGCTGTTAATTTTTACATGTGAAAACAAAAAAAACTAATTATTCTTCAAAATAAGCTTATTGATGAATTTAAAAAATATATATACACAAAATAACATATATTTTGTCGTGAAAAGTCACTATAATATCATACGATTATTAAAATATGGTCTTTAGAGACTTACATGTAGTTCCCTTGTCAACAACTTCTGCGATTCTTCCGAAAGAAATACACGGACACCAACACGTTAAGCAACCTGTAATTCCCATAAACAATACAAATTTTCAATAGCATGAATTGATTTATTCATACAATATTAATATACTATATAATTAATGATTAATATAACTAATTTGTGGACCTACAGTTAGGGACATCTTTTCCGCAATTACAAAGGCCGGTGGACCATTGGCCTGGGGTGATGATGGGGTGAGCTGGAACGCCGGTGGCATATTCCGGTGGTGGCATGTTGGAAGAGTACTGCATGGTTGAATATTAATGAGGTTAATTGATGGTGATTGAAGTTTACGTTTGTGGGCTGCTATTTGTAGGCACTATATAATTTGGTCAAGGGTGTGGTTACATCGTCAAACAAAGTTGTCCATAATACGTTGTATCCTGGTAACCTCTTTATAATTTCTCTTTCACATATATGGATCAACTATTCAACTTATAGTATTTTCTATATCAACTTGTTATCAATTATTATTCTAACACAACAATAAGTGTTATATTTGTCATTATGGATAATATATTCTTATCGCTCTGTGATATAAAAGGTGTCAATTTCAATTTTTATTTATTCATCTATGAATAAATCTATGTAAATTTTATCTAAATGTTGGCAAAAGTGCATTTCTAATACATATGATAATATATTATCTTAAAATCTATTTTCTGAAAGAGTAGATTATATTGTAATATGTAGCTTTTATAGTTACAGTTAATAAAGTATTTATCGATAATCAAAATCTAAAAAAGACTCTATAAGACAAATCGATCGATTCAACCCATTTCAATCGATATAAAAAATTATTTGTTTTGAGCTATTTATCGAACCTCGTGAAGTTCTTATTATACTACCACCATATAAATTGAAATGATTTGAATGAAAAAAAGGCATAGATTAATTAAAGCAGGGTAGTATGAACTATGAAGTATCAACGAAGCACATAGAATACTCTTATTAAATAAATGTGTAAAAGTTGATGCAAAGAGCTCGCAAGTTGTTTAACAATTAAGGGGTGTTAGACCAAGTCAAGCACATCATCACTTAATCGTTTAATGAAATACATAGGAGTAGTAAATTTATAGATCATCTATAATGAGAGTTGTATGAGAATTTAATAGAATAAACATAAATATAATATAGATGAGAGAGTGTGTTGAGTGAATATGTAAATCATTATATACTTATAAAGCTTGTATTTTTTCTTGAACCACATTCATTTGAAACTCCTATGGATTTTTTCTTTTTACAACATTCATTTGAAACTTCCATGACTTTTCAATTTATTTCTAATAATTATTATAAGTTGGTTAATAAGGTTAAATAAATATCAAACCTAAAGTGTAATCATATAAAGTAAATTTTAATATTAAAAAATATATATTTTCTTCTACGTATAAGGTTTGTTTTTAACTTTTAACATATTATACTTAATTTATTAGGTCTAATATGTTGTATGTAAACCATTATCATTTTAAAGCTACAACTTTTGATCAATTTGCATAAAATACTTAAATTGTTAATTTAAATATAACCTTACATGATCAACTTAAATATAAATTTAGTTCAACTTAAACAACCCAAAAAATATTTTGTAAATAGTTAAAAATGATAAATTGTAGTGTCTTTCTAATAATGATTATAAATTGGTTAATAAGGATAAATAAATATCAAATCTAAAGTGTAATAAAAAATAAACTAAATTTCAATATTAAAATAATATTTTTACTTCTACTTATAAAGTTATGTTTTAACTTTTAACATATTATAGTTATTTTATTAGATTTGATATGTTGTTATATATAAACCATTATCAGTTTAAAGCTGAAACTTTTGAACTGTATGAACAAAATACTTAAATTGTTAATTTAAGTATAACATTACAGGGTCAACTTCAATATAGATTTCAGTTCCACTTAAAAAACCCAAAGAATATTTTGTGAATAATGAAAGTGATAAATTGTAGTGTTAAATGCAAAAACTAAATTGTAATATCAAATCACTAAAGTATTTCTTAAATATATTTTTATAATCATTAAAAGTTTTGAAATAAGTATCTTAAAATAACTTACAATAACAATAGTTAAAAATAACTCTATATAAATTATTATATTGTTACCTTTAAAATCATAATAAAAAAATTGTTTGATGTTTTAAATAATTACACTAATAGAAATTAAAACGTTAACAAATAAATTTTAAAAATGAACTAACAATAACAACAACTATGAATAAACAATTTATTATATTTAGTTTTATTCATGAGTAACCCGCCACGTAGATGTTATTCAAAATATTGAGATTATGCAGTTTTAATAGATCACTACTAGAAAAACAGACTTTAATGACGCGCAAACAATGACACGCGGTGATTTACGATACGCAAAAGCGTGCGCTCTAAAAATAATGTCATCTCTTCAAACTTTTGAAGGATAGAGGTCACGCTTTTGTGCGTGCCCTAAAATTAATGTCCAAGAAAAAAAATTAAAAACACGGAGGGCACTTATTTAAAAATGGGCGTCGTTTAGAAATGTTGCTTTATATTTTTTGAATGAAAGGCGCGTTCTCTTTTTTTTTTGCAGCTGGGGGGAAACGAAAATCCCTAAAGTTTGAAAGGCCGGCATTGTTATCCTCTATCTTATTTCCATCTTTCTTCTCTCTCTATCTCTCTCTCACTCTTTCTCTTTCCCTATCTCTCCCACTCTAATACCCAAAAAAACCCTAATATCATCATAAATCTCCTTTTTTCCCGCAACAAAATTGCAATATCACCAAATCTCTGATCCCGTCTTCTGAACAGATCAAACCCGTAGGGGTTCTCTATGTTGATGTGTGGTGACACGAACAAAAAAAGGAGTGTAGCGCCTCTACATTTCAATTTCATTTGTCGGTTGCTTCAAATCGACTATTGCTTTCTCTCTCACAGGGCTTTCTTTGTGCGTTCCATTCACCTCCGTTATAAAGGAATATCTGTGGGATACAAAAGGCGTTCGAGAGAAAGGGAGGACATCGATCAAGGCTCACTTACTTCTACCCACTGGAACCACCATATCTCCCACTCGATGTTGAAATCAACGTCGACATCGTCGATAATGTCGAAGACAAGATCCAGGTTCTTATTTCTCCTCTATTCATGCCTCTAATTTCGATTTTGAATCCTCTTCTCTTCTCTTCTGTAAAACCCTAGCCATAAAACCATACAAGTTTCAATCATGATTTCCTCCTCCGGTGGCCATAGCTAATTTTACGTTGGAGGCACTTCTTCTGCTCCCGATACTCATGGTTCTAAGGATGTCGCATACAATTTTCTCAAATCTCGTGGCTACCATGGCCTCTTCCCTTAGATCGAGGTTCTCTCCCTCTCTCTCTCTCTCTCTCGTGTGATTGAGGTGATGTCTCCGATGAAGGAATCTTTTATTTGAATGATTTACTAGTACCTACACCCCACACAAGTTCATATTTCGGTATCTGGATGTCTCACATGTTACCATTTTTACCTGAGGAAGAAAACCAAAGAAGTTCATCGAGCAATAGAACAAATTATCATTGGTTTTATTGTCTGCAAGCATCATTGTTCTTTCTTATTATTTTTGTTGTTTCAAGATCTTGTTTTTATGCCTGATTCTTTCATTATTGTGCAAATGATAAACTCTTTGATGCTTCACAGTATGCTTTTTTTGGTCGACCTACTACTGAGAAAATTGAGTTTGGGTGCTTAGAAGAAGATGAAGATAATCCTTCAACTGGAGTTCCTGATGATGAATGCCATTTATTTGACAGAGAAGAGCTATAATGTACATTGTGCATCTTCTGTTTTGACTTCACTCCATATTTATCTTCATTTATTGTTCATAAATCTAAACGCTTGAGATATTATGCATTCATCACTTCACATTTTAGACATTTAAAGTCGTTACAATAGTTTCAGTTAACATCATGCAAATTCAAATTCCTAAACCTGCAGTGATAAAATATCTCATCTTTCTAAATCTTACATCTTCTTTTTCCATAGGAGCCAAGTGCAAGATCTCTATTGGATTTATATGATCTGTCAACTATATTTTCAAAAGTAAAGTTTTGATTTTAGTTTTTCAGAATAAAATTGTGAATTTTTTGAGCCAAATTTACTAAATTTCTTGTTTTTTTAAACAGTTAAACAGATCAGTAAGCGGACCTAGACATCCTGGAGTTATTGGTGATCGAGGTTCAGGATCTATTTCAAGAGAAAGTAAGTATCTATATTAAATTTATTCAAGAAATACTTTTTATATTCATTGCTTTTGTAACTTTGTTCATATTCTTCTATAAAAAAATATACATATTTTCAGGTTCATCTGCTTCAATAGATCTACTAGAGTGGCTAGACCAACACATCTCAGACACAGAAAGCAACCATGGAAGCAGAATATGGTATTCACAATCTCATTTCCCTTCAGACCCTAAACCCTTATACAGAGCTTCATCATATCCTACAGAGAAACACTAATTCTTCACAGAACCCATACTCACACCAACATCATCTCTCCCTTCATTTTCACTTGGGGCCCACAACAGTCTCCTCTCGCCACATCATCGTTCCCATTCCCATTCCCATTCCCAAATGCCCTTTTCATACCTTAATCTCTCCCTTTTATCAAACACCTCTAGTCTTCACCTAACCAGTATCCCACACGGGTCACGTTATGGCTCAACCCGAACCCACCCGGTCCACCCCGGGTTAACTCAGTACTCTCAAACAAAAAATCAATGGGCTAACCAAGTGTTGGCCAACAATCTTCAACAAAAGATGCTCTTGTCCCAATGTTTCAACAAAATCCACTTGGAGAAGTAAAATTGTTCAACTAGGGAGTCAAGGTTGAACCTGTGGGTTAGCTGTGTCTTTCTCCCGACCCTATCATGAGTTACAAGAATCTTGAGTCTTTAAAGGTTAAGTTAAATGACCTATTTACCCTTTGTTGAAAATTAAGTTAAATCTACCCCACATCCATCAAGTCTTGCCATCAGAATTATAAATAACCTAAGTTCACTATAAGGAAACTATAATTGTTCTATAGCCCCACCCTTTCTTTATACTACTTAAAGCCTTTAGAATTCTCTCCTTGTAAGCATTCTAAGAGTAATTTCAAGTTCCTTCCCTATTTACCTGTTTCTTCTTACTTTGCTTGCTTCAGTTAATTATTAATCATTTATTTTAGTAAGCATGTTTACATCTTTCTCCAACCATTTTCCTCATAATTTCTTAATTTTCCCATTTTGCCCTTGTTGTGTTCTGAAACATTTTTTGTTTATGTGGTAACATAACAATTAACAGGTTCACTGCATTTTCTGAGCTATTACCACTTCTGGCAGTGGGCACAACTCCATTTTTGAAGGTTGACAAGATTTGTCAACAAATCTCTACCACCACCCTTACCATTGATAATTCCATCGCATTCTCCACCCCTTTTTCTACTTTCACCTCCACTGCATCTACAAACCTTGAAGTCAAAAGTCCCTCAAGAATCCATGTACCTTTTTATTTTCAAGTCAAATGGGACAAAAAACCCGCTCTCAATCTCTTGTTTATCATAAAAAAATTAGCCTTAAAAAGCTTCATTAGTCCACTGGTATGCTGCAAATTGTAGATTGCTTTAAGAAGATAAAAAGTTGGGTGAAACTGCTCCATTTTGGAACTTCCGTGCTGCTTCGTATCCAGATTTGGAAGCCCCAGATCCAATTCCTACTGCCTCAAATATAAGTCACACGGTTGATGAGAACTTGAGTGCGGTTTCATGGGTATATTCTTTAATTCTTTGTAGGTTTCTATTTGTGATAATTTCTTCTTTTTTTATTAATTTGAGTTGTGATATATTTGTTTGAATGTAGGGAGATGTTTATCCTGTGGAGTACTACAATAGGTTCTCAATGAATCAATTCCTTGACCCCCATTGGGGTGTGCTTTATGAAGAAGATGTAAGATATGCGTCAACTTCTCATTTTTCATTAATGTCTTATCAATCATTATTTAGCAAATAGTTTATGGGATATATATATAACTCAGATTTAATATTAATAAAATAGTTAACTGGTCATAAGTCTCACACTGTGAACATTCTTGTCAATAATGCTCTTGGAGTTCTCAACCTGGTCACCGGAGTTATATCCAGAAAGGGTTACAACATCCAGGTTTGGTTTTTTTTATCCTTATAGTATAATTTTTTAGGTGAAATGTTTACTTTTTTTTTAAATAACAATATTTAAAAATAAAAAAATGTGTTGTGTTAATGTGTGCAGAGTCTGGCTGCAGGTCCTGCAGAAATGGAGGGTCTAGCTTGGATTACAAGTGTGATTCCTGGAACAGATGAATCTATTGAGAAATTGGTTCAATAGTGTACATTCATTCTCCATTTGTGGGTTCCATCAAATTTCCTATTACAATATTGTAGAAAAATCTACAAAATTTACATATTTTGTTTTTGCAGGTGTTCATTTTCAAGGGACAAAAATGTCTTTTAGTGATAGTGAGAGGGAGGAAAATCGCATGGGTTACGTTTGCCATTGATTTGATTAAGCAGATGCATGAGATTAAGCAACAAATAAGTGGGGTAACAATTGGAATGGTTGTTTCTAGAGTTGAGGGTCCGGTCAGTAAAGCGAATACAAGGAAGGGAATTAGAGGCGGGAATCCGGGATTGGCAAGATGGAATCATAGGCGAGAGTCTGGGGTTACGGGATTTGCCTTCGACTTTGAGTTCTTCCATGTCGTTGCCTTTACAGTTGCTGTTAAGACTGTTTCTTGTAATCTGTGCTGGTGGGTAAGTTTTTTATTTTATTTATTTATTTATAACTTAAATATGTTGATTGCATCTCATCTCATGCGCTTGAATATGTAGGGATCCATCATCACGTAGTATGGGGCACATGCTAGCTTCAGTGGTCATTTGTCATTATTTATTTGTTTTGTATGCAATAATTAATATTCTTAACAAGTGTCAACTTAAAACTACCATCATGAATCTTCCACATTTGTTGGATTCCTCAGATGAGTCAACCTTCACTATATGAATATAAAAAAAAACTAATACAGAAAGAGTTTAAGGTATTATTTAGTATGAAGGAATGGAATAGCCCTTTTTTTGTATGTTCTTCTATTATTAACTTCTTTGGCCGGGGTTTAGTGATTGTGTTTTTGGTAAATCAAAAGTTATCATGTTAATTTGACAGTGAGTGACAAAGGAGAGAACTAGAGTGGTTGGTGTTGTATATAGTTTCTACTATAAATAGATAAGGATATGTATATAGTTTCTACTATAAATATTGTCCAGAAGAGTGTTTCAATAGCAACAATGGCACTTGTTTTTAAAGGTGTCATTCTCATTCAATTAGTTGTTTGTATGTGGATGCTATAATTACTTATTGAAGGTTATTTGCATAAACATCTTTTGAAAATGGTTTCTCGGTGTTTCTTTCATGGATGCAGTTTCTTGGAAATTGATCTAGGCCATTTGAAAGTGACCAATGAAGTTAGTTGGCATGGACCTGCGGAAGATCAAGCATCTGTTCATCGTGACTACTTTCTCGGATTTCCTTTTCACCAGCTGTTTTGCCATGAATTTGGGTGAACAACCTATCCTCCCTCCTCATTTTTGTGACATAAACTAAAATGAAGTTAATTCATGTTGCAGCTCCTTACATTATGATGACATTAAATTTTGATATACGTGGGTTTAGACCATCTATTATGAAGTTCCCAAGTGCAGAAAAGTTCAGTGAAGTTGCTAAATTTATTGGAACAAAGTTTTCTTCTTCAAAATCCATTAACTTCACTGCTGACATTTCTAAAGTAGAATGAAATGACAAGTGATTTTGTGTTGTGTTTACAGGGTTGATGAAAACGAATAGATCTGGAGTTAGAGGAGGAAAAGAAAGCTCAAGTTGAAAGAGATAAGATGCTGCAAATGCGCGCAAGTGTTGCATTCTTCATTTCAATTGTTAGTATGAAACACACAATAGATTAGATGAATGCAAATTTATTTATTGTAAAAAATAGAATTGTATGACATTAAATTTTATGCAATGGATTGTATTTTTATATGGTATTTTATTTCTATTATGAGACAGTAAAAGCAAATTTAATTTAAAAATAAATAAATAAATAAATATTTTTTTTAGATTTACGACATGGCCTTTCTTGACAGAGGTTTTAATGATACGCATTGCGTGTCATTAACATGCGCGTCATAAGGTTACGACACGCGAATGCGTGTCGTCTTCCTTTATGACAGGGCCTTCCTTGATACGCATTGCGTGTCGTAAACGCGCGTTGTAATTGCACGTCATAAATAAGCGTCGTAAATGTGCGTCCTCTATAGACGACGCGCAAAAGCGCGTCGTCTCTCTTTATGACAGGGCCTTCCTTGACGCGCATTTGCGCGTCGTCTGAGCGTTTTACGACGCGCAATGAGCGTCGTAAAAGACTGTTTTTCTAGTAGTGGATGTATATATTATCATATAATTCAAAATAATCAATATACTATATCAACATAGTATACGAATTATTATATAAAATTTAACAACGACAGATTGTCAAGTTGAATGACCATGGAAGTTGCAATAGAATTTTAATGAAAATTTATGAATTTTTAAAAATTAAAGTGAATATGTACATTTTCTTTCCTCCTTGTCATTCCATATAACTCTCTATGGATTTAATCCATTGGAAATGGTTACCAATGGTAAAATGGCGCCACATAGGCACCACGTAGACTTTTACAATTTTAACATTTTTTACCTACGAAGTGTGGTGTCATGCTATGAGTTATATATATATATATATATATATATATATATATATATATATATATATATATATATATATATATATATATATTATTTCATTTTGGTAAAAGATTAATTTTTTTTAAAAACCATACTAAAATTTAAAATAACATAAACTTAAAAATTACAATTTAAAAATCCTAGAAATTTAAAAAAAAAAAACATGAAAATTAAAATTACATTGAGAACCTAAAAATTAAAAATAAAATATGACGTTAAAATTTAAAAACCTAGAAAAAAAAAACAAGGCACCAAATTTTCAGTTGCGTTTCAGATTATATTTTTCCCTAATCGATGCTTTCATAATTATTGTCGTTTCTTGATCTTCGGGTTGAGGTGCATCACGTCTTACATTAACAACGTATATACGGTGAGTCGGACGGTTTCACGTGTATGCTTTTTCTAAAGTCGAATTCAATTGTGCCATTTGTATAATCATTTCTTCCGATCTGGCTGATCGCTCGATTCTGACTGAAGAATTTGAAGAAGTCGTTTTCCATTTTCCTTTTGCTCGAACGTTTGTTTGTCCCTTCCCATTGGAATAGGAGGCGGGCATATTTCTTCAATGTCGTCGTTATCATAATTAAGATTAACGCTTACGTTACCATCCGATGAGACCTGTTGCAAGCTCGAATATGAAGATGTCCGACTTCTTTTTGGTGGATTTGCAATTTCTTCATGTGTTGCAAGTTCCTCCACCTTGCAATTTCCTCCACCTAATGCTTCTTTTGACAACTTCCCACACATGAATAAATTTAAAAGACTTTTGCATATCATCTTGGAATGTAGTGTGTGTTCTTTTCAACAAACTCGTTTCACTTTCTCCGCTAGTGTAACATCCCGAAATATCAAGAGTAAGTTGTGAAAGAGTGACTCGGCGAGTCCATGGATGGACTCGGCGAGTAGAGTCGCGACTTGGTTGCGTGTTAAGTAGCCGACTCGGCGAGTCAGTGAGATGGACTCGACGAGTAGGCGCTGAGTGGAGAAAACCCTAATTCTCGGGGTTGAGCCTTATATAAAGATCATTATGTTTTCCTCCCAGCCTCTTTATCACCCCTTGAGCCCCAGAAAACCCTAAATCGCGGAGAAGCACCATTGTTGAGTGGATTGGAGCTTGGAGAAGTAATTGTTGAAGGAATTTTGGGAGATTGAAGGCTTGGAGCAAGGGGCTTTGCTTGGACTCGAATTACATTGCAGTTAGGGAATCTCTTAGAGGTAATTTTCCGTGCCACCATCTTCAGATATGTCGACCCATGCCCTTGCTAACTCAACTTCTTCTTTTTGTGTCCATCTTCTTGGATTAGCCTTCCATTTCTTTTGTTGTTGAGGTTGTTTTTGCGGTTCTTCGTGTTCGGTTGAAGGTGTAAATGACGGCTAGGATGGAAATTAGGTTTGAGATGGTTGGGTTTGAGGTTGAGATTGGAAATGGAATGGTTGGGGCATTTGAAATTGTGAATAATATCTAGGATCCATCCATTTGTGCCCGGTAAGGTGGTGGTGATGACGGATAGTAGCCAAAAAGTGCGTAGGCGTTGTTAACATTTTGGTTTGGAACATTTTGTTTGGAAGAGTTTGGATTGTTGGAAGAATATATTTTCAAAGAAAAAATTGTTGTTTAGAGTGTATAGTGTGGTGATTTTTTGAAAATGCGATTCGTATATACAGTAGATTAAAAAAGAAAAAAAATAAAGAAATATGCCAAAACTAGTCGTTACCGACCGTTTGGTAGCATTCCATTCTTAAAATCGCCACAAAAATCACACATTTGCCATTTGTAAAGGACCACTGGCAATGAAATCCCCTTCAAGGCATGGTGTTCACCGGCGGTGAAAGGGTGCCACGTCCGACACCACCGTTTAGCCTTATTGCATAAGTTATTTTCAACTTATAAAAAACCTTAAAAAAACCAATATATTTTTTTTTTATCAAATGCTTAAAAAAACTATTATATATATATATATATATATATATATATATATATATATATATATATATATATATATATATATATATATATATATATATATATATATATATATATATATACACACACATTTAAGTCTTTTGACCTTAAAAAATTCAATCTTTCTTCTAAGCATTAGAAAAACTATTATATTATATTTTTTTACCACATCAAAACCCTTATATTTTTTGAAATTTTTTATTCTAATGGATTGTCACCATTAAATTGTTGAGAATCTATTACCTAACATTTTTTTTGCTATCTAGAGTTTACCCAATTTAAAGCATTTTTCTTTTTTTTTTTAAAGATCCATGGTTCAAACTCGATTTGAAAATTACGATGGAATTAATTAATAATTTTATATGTATTTTTATAATATTATTTATTTTATATACATATACGACTTATGATGAACTTTTTAGAACCTTCAAAATACCATCATCGCATCACGCTCCATCAAACGCTAGCCTCACATCTTACTTTTATTAATCTTATTTCTTTATATGACAACATTTTACATCTATTTTTTCTTATAATGGAAGTGTGTTTTGAAAATCTACACAAATGTAGTATATAACTCTTTTTCTTCTTGTTAAGACATTATATTTTGAAAAAACCACCCAATTATAGAAATAAAACAATCTTTTTTATTTGGATAAATGTGTATTTTTTTAAGATACATCGCTTCATTAGAAATAATAAAAGTATGATGTTATAAGTGTTCATTATGTATCATTTGTGGATAATAATTGTCTATTAATGTATGATGCCACAAGTGTTATATTAGTTTAGAGTTTTAAAGTTCAATGCTTAAATAGGAAAAAGAAATACATCATCTCTAATAAATGAATGTTTTTTTTATCACTTGTCACACTTTTATTCAATCTGCCAAATGTCATTTTGTAGTTCTTTTGAATTTTTTTTTCCACATGTCATTTTATAAATTTTTTTATTTTATTAAATTCCACGTAATATTTTAATATAATAATTGCAATAAATATAGTAATAAATGGATATCAATTTCATTAAAAATCTTACCTTTTAATTTTAAAATTCTTAAAATTAAATCTTATTGGTTTCTTTTATTTATTTAAATTATTTGTTTAAATTTAAAAGATTAAAACTATTTCTATTATAATAATTCATTATTTTTCTTATTTTCTTATAAATCCAAAGTTTTCAAATATTTTAACCTTTATATTTAACTTTTTTTTTCAATTAACCCATATAAACAATGTGTCTCACAACTAGTGCATAAATATTTTACATTTTTGAAGTGTAATGCCAATAATAACATGTACAATGTTTTCAAAATGTAGTGTCATAATACGTCTATATAACATGCTATTTAAGAAAAATTATTGCTTAAAATCATGTCGCAACATTCGGCCTAAAACCCTTGTTATAAACAAATACAAACTAATATTATATTTTCTATTAAATAGGACCTATAAAGACTTCATGGCCTTGCAACCGTCTTTCATTATTTCGAGCAAAATGTTTATCTGGCCTGTTCGCAATAGGTTTGCAAACGACTGTGGCTATTGGCTACTATAATAATATCAATGTTAATTAAAATGTACTATGATAAATCATAATTCAATAATACTATGATAAATCATAATTGTTATTGTTAGTCTACATATGTATTTTTGTAGTACATTGTTGTTAGGCCTCTTATCTTTGTTATAGGCCTCAAGCCCACTATTGTATCCATATATTCTAGATGATGAGAATGAAATACTATGTAGACTAACAATTGATAAGTATTCACCTTTCTTATTCTCCCACTCAGACACTCAGTGAACTTGGTTCATTACT